AAACCAGAAGCGTAACAAAAATCAAGTACCAGAAAAAACTAACCAGTACACAGAGCTTCAAAGAGGACCCGGAATCTATCGGACTACTTTACTTCCTGCAAACATTTCATCATTGAGGTCTGACTTTTATCCCTCATGGGAGGGGCAATCACCTCCCAGCCTCACTCCTGAGTTGCCTCTTCTGTTTCAGCTGCTCTCACCTTCTAGCAGCTCTGCACACACGTGCACTGGGAACATGGTCCCCTGGGTCCTCTGCCTTGCTGCTGCCAGACTCCGAAGGCTCCGAAGGCAGCACCCCGCTCCTAGATGGTCCTGGCCCCATCCCTGCATCAGACGCAGGACCCGCGTCCAAGTCCTCTCCAGACTCCCTGACTGGTTCCCTTTCTTCCTGATTCCGCTGTCATCTGCACCGACTGCGGGTGAACCTCAACACCCGATTGCATTGAAGTAAGTAGAGAAGAGGTACATTTACAGAGTTTGAAACGATCGTGGCGAAAGGAAAGCAAGAACTGAGCCAAAGGCACAAAAGTTACATACTGAAAGTTTCCCACATCCCTTCCCCCAGGGACCCAGCTGAATGTCCAATCCATGTCCCGGATAGTGCCGTGTGGAGCATATCTTCAGGTGTTTTTGTCCATATGGAGTTCTAGGACGGTTGGCCTTGACTGGGTGTAAATAACTCCATTCAGCAGCATAGTAATTCTTGACAGCAAACCTCCCTTTTAGTTCACATGGTCCTTCATCACACCAGCTCACTTCCCAAACGGCAATGCCATGCCCCCACCCCTCATTACTATGGCAGCTGATAGCAAGCAAGCATCAAAGGGAAACACCATGCTGGTGATCCGGCTGACAAGGATTTAGGATAAACTGGATAAACCCTATATAAAAGTTCAGCAATGGAAACCTCAGTTATCACCCTGTTTGCAATGAAGGTGAGAATTCGCCCTTCGCACGAAATTCTCCTCAAAAATGGTTTACCTCACAACCCATGCTAACTACAACTCCTAGAACCCCCAACCAATGACGTCACTACAAGAGGAGGGTTTTTTTTAATGCAAATTAACTCGCTATTATCAAAATGGTATTTCATTTTAGCATTTCATAAATCAAATTATTGAACAGTAAAATGTAACAAATTGGAAGTTTTTTCTTAACCAATTGTCATTTTTCATTCTCAACTTATTTCTCTTAGAATTTTTATTTAAAAAATAAAAAATAGGAGAGGAAATTGAATAATGAAATTACTAGAAATGTTTAAATGATATGGTGGTTGGCACAAGGAGTATTGCAATGCTGAAAATAAGCAATAAAGGATTATGATTTAATGCAAATATGTGTATTAAGAGATATGATTGTTATTAATTTTGTTTACATTAAAATGTATGATGTATTGATACATTGTTTATGTATGTGTAGATTATAAAAACAACTTGATTTTTTTAAAAAACCTTATTTCTCTGACTACAACCATTTCCCAGATGTTGCAATATTGTTTCTTAACCCTCTAATTATTAACAAAGCACTTTAATTGGTATGATCTTCAGTCATATTTTGGCTTCTGAGCAGGGGTGGGCTTCAAAAAAATTAGCAACCGGTTCTCTGCCTGGTTGCTGGGTGGGCATGGCCTAGTCGGCCTCCTTAACCACGGCAGTGGGGGGATGTTTTTGCCCTCCCCGGGCTCTGGAGGCTTTCCTCAAGCCCTCAGGAAGGCGAAAACCACCTCCCTGGCCTCCGGAGGCTCTCTGGAAGCTGGAAACAGGCCCATTTCCGGTCTTCCGGAGCCTGTGAGAGGCCTGTTTTTCGACCTCCCCAAGCCTCTGTGTGGGCCCTGCACAGGGATGGGATTCAAATTTTTAAAGAACTGGTTCTGTGGGTGTGGCTTAGGTGGTGGGCGTGGCTTGGTGGTCATGTGACCGGGTGGACTTGGCTTGGTGGTCATGTTATTGGCTGGGTGTGGCCAACTCAATATCACTCACATCGAGGCACACATCTCCTCTCCTGGCCTCTCATGACTGTGGGGATGCTGCAACAGTCGTAAGTGTGAAAAACGGTCATAAGTCACTTTTTTCAGTGCCATTGTAACTTTGAATGGTCACTCCACACAAGCAAAGTACCAGCAAAGGAGGGGAAAATAACTCCAGAGACGTTCCTGAGACAGGAAATCTAGTCCTGCCAAGAATGTAATAAGGGTTAACGGAGAGGCAGTTTCTGTAAGCAACAGCAGAATGTTTCCTTCCTGCCTTTCTTACAGGATTAGGCCAGGAATTTCTTCTAACAACCGGCTTAGAATGTTAACAACCAGTTCTAGCGAATAGGTGCGAACTGGTAGAATCCCACCCCTGCTTCTGAGTGAATTCAGCCTATGAAGACCCAAGAGGCTCCGAATGAATATCTGAATAAAGACATGGAAAGTGTATAACAAACACACTGCCTCCCTTTCTAGCTTATTGCATATGTGTGGAAATTGTATGGGATGTTGTGATGTAAATATTGTAAATTATTTATTGATTTAAAAAAACCGCAAATAAATTTCTTTTTCTTCCCAATAACACAGTCCTGAATTTCTGTTGATGCAATCTTCAGGACAAAAAAAATAGCATGAACCAGATCACATTTGTTGTGTTTGTTGAATTGGCTAGTTCACTGTAAAACCCAGCTCACCTTGCTGCCAAAATAATTACCAACTTCAGAAAACCAAAGATCAATAAAAAAATTAAAAAATGTGCCATCAGCTTTCATTTAGAATAGATTTGTCATGGAGAAGATACCTAGGCCATGTATAACTTTTGGTCTATTTTCCAATTCCTGCACTGAGATTTTTTCCAAAGTACTGGATACTTTTCAGAGAAGAGATCAATTTGATATCAGAAGCAAAAAGAAAAGATAAATCCAAAAAATGTCAAGCAATATGAAAAAAGGAGGTGAAGAAGACGAAATGTCTGAGGAAGATTTTGTCTTCACTATCTAGAATCAGGCTTTTAAGCTGAAGTAATAAAACTCTTCAGTATTTTCAAAACAAGAAAACCATCAGTTAAATAAAAAAGAGAGAGAGAGAGACGGAAATTCCAATTTCTGAAAAACTCAACTTTTAGTGTACAACAATCCAAAGTACAGGAGCTTAACCATAGAAAAAAATTAATACATACTTTATAAACCACATATTTACATCGGAAATCACTTCGACAGTGACAAATTCCTTTGTCACAAATATAAATTAATATTAATTACTGTACTTAATCATAGGGATTTCATTTTCCCTTTAAGTCCATGGCTTTATGCACCAAATTTCTTTTACCCCAGATCTTGGGGGGGCGGGGGGGGGGGAAATGCAAAATTGCATCAAGTAGGGTTATTGTAGCTGGATGACTGGTAGAAACCAAACAGCCAGAAACTTCTTCAATCTTCCAATAAACCTTCATAATTGCCTCAAATTAGGCACAAACCCAGAATTCACCCTCCTACCAGTATTTTGTAATTCTTAACCCGGGCAAGAAGAGAACATAGAAACATTCTGGAGTTATTATTTCATCTAATGGTCACAATTCCATTGCAAAAATATCCCCTCCTAAAATTATGGGGCCCAAATGCATTTCAACCTTACAGGAAAAAGGCAGAACTTAGGAGTCAAACAGTAGCTATTCTAATTCAGTAACAATCAAAAACATATTAGAACTTAGGGGCCAAATAGCAACTATTCTAATTAAGTAACAATTACAAAGATATCAGAACTTAGGGGTGAAAGAGTAGCTATTCTAATTAAGTAACAATTAAGGAACATATGAGAAGAGTGAAAGTATCCCACCGGAAAACTATTGGGCCAAATATATTTTACCTTTATGGGAACATGTCAGAAATTATGGATAAAATAGTAACTATTCTAATTAATTACATTGCAATTAAGTAACCATTAAGAAAATTATCAGAAATTAAGACTGAATGTATCCAATTTGAAAACTATCGGTCCAAAAATATTTTGCCCTTATAGGGAGGGGAATGTCAGAAGTTTTGAGTGAAATAGTAAGTATTCTAATTAATTGTGTTATCATTAATTAGCAATTAAGGAAACTACAAGAAATTAAGTTTGAAAGCAACTACTTGAAAACCAGTCCAAAAATATTTTGCCCTCATAGGAAAATTTAAATTTATTTAAGAAATATTTTGCCCTCATGGGAAAATTTAGGAATCAAATAGTAACCATTCTAATTAATTCTATTCTAATTAAGAAACAATTAAAGAACCTGTCAGAGCTAAGGAGTGAAAGAATTGTTCTAATTAATTAACAAGATAGAATTCTTGGCTTCCCTTTCCTGTTGGATATATTTGGAATTCACATTTAGTCAACCACCCTGGGTAAAAAATAAAAGGACCTTGGAAAAAAACTCTATGGTGTCTCTTCTGCAATTACAATTAACAGGTGAGATGTAATAGAAAAAGTATATGACACACTCATGGACAAACATAAAAAAAGGCCCCTCTAGAAACTTAGATAAACACTTGGTCTGATTCTTTCCTTCTTATTTCACCGATCAAGTTTTAACACTTACCAAAATGACTTGGCAGTGAAATATCAAAAATTATGGCTCAGGATTGTTGCCAGGGGCACAAAATTCATTTGAAAGGTGATAAACACAGGGAGGCTATTTTCTGCATGTATTTGGCCATTTCATTTTTAAAAGCAATAATTTAACCCAAAGCAATGGATTTGGGGCTAAGTGCTCACAACTGCCCACACATATATATTTTGGGCGGGGGTGGGGGGAGACAGAGAGAAATATCTGTTGGGGTTACTTTTTTTCTTTTTTTTTTTAGAAGATGCTGCTGAGACAGATCATGGAAGTATAATTATGACTCAGATCTTTGCCACCTGTGCATAAAAATTCCCTGTGGGACAAAACTCCATGTTTCTCTTCACTCAATGCGAGGCTTCCTTCATCTTGCTTAGTTCATTGGTGTCTTTTTCCTATGGATGACAACCATTGGGGTTTTTGAAACTTTCTAACCAGAAGTGCGAAGTTGACCATCTTGAGATGTTCATGGAATCCTGTCTGAGGTGGACCCTCCTCTCAGCTCCTTTCTCCAAGCTGAATCCCTGGTGTTCCCGTGGATCATGAGGAGGAGAAGGAGAAGAAAAAACAGGAGCTCTACAGTCAATTTTTGAATACTGAAGTCTCCCAATGTCGTGGACATACTGTCCTTCTCGCTCCTTCGCAACCATGGAAATGAAAGTTCTGCCACCATTTAAAACCTGTTCTTTGTCCACAGCTCTACTTGGTTCACATAGTGCTGCTCAAAGTCCCAAAATTGTTAAGGCAAAGAAAAGCATGGAGAAGCGAAAAAGAGGGACCATAAACCATTCCTCCTTCTTTTGTTTCGTTTTCTGGCCTCTTAAGTCCACAGACTTCCAAATCTCTTCAGTAAAGAGTTCCAAGCATTTTCATCAAAAGTTGGTTTCACCATTCTGTAAATCCGTCTCACTCCTGCCCTCCCTGACGCCAATGTTTTATTCAACAGCTGTAGCTATCGTGGTCTTCCTTATCACCCCCTTCCGGCAGCAAATTGAACCTGAACTCCAAAACCATATAGCTTTTGCCTCCGTCTGTACCCTTTGCAGCCTGTCTGTCCATTCTGTGAAATGTCCAGAATTCAAGTTGGCATTATGGATACAAACCCAAAATCTTCGTTCCAAAACGTAGGTGGTAGACCTGACCTTGTTCTCTACAGATCTCTTGGTGCAGGGAAGACCCCTCCCAACACCCAGCCAGTATCCTGATGGAAGGCAAATTTGGAGCTAAAGTTCAGGCTCCCCGGTGGATCCAGTTTTTCTGACCCCCTTCCAATTCTTACAGCCCCAAGCTCTACAGCACTGTATTCAGGCTTTCTGGTTCCAGCATTGATGGCCCTATAACTGGTGTTTCCTTGGGCCGGACTAGCTCTTTCCGTTGGCCTCTGATTCTGGGCCTCTAGGTTTTCCGACCACTCCAGTTATAATCTGGATTGTTCTTCTGATCTAAGGGCCTATCCAGAGGTGAGCGATGCTGAATGGGAGACTTGGCACCAAGTGGAGATTTCTGAGAAGCTGGAGAGCGAGGGTCAGGGACCTGGGAGTGAGGAGGGGGAAGGAGTTGCTTATAATCGGCTGATTTATCTTGGTGGAAAGGCCTGTAATGGTCGGATGGCCCTTGCCCGTGATAACTCAAGGGAGGTCTATAGTCAGACATCCTCCGATAATCTTGTTGGTAATTCTGGGGCCGGAATCCATCTAATCTTCGTCTCTTGGCTTCATGACAGTATCTGGAGGGGAAAGAAGAACACAAAACATTCAACTCAACAAAAGAGGCAAAGATGACCCTATCTAGGTCTTGGAATGCTTAAGTCCCTCTGGTGGCAAAGGCATGGAAGAAGAGAACAGGAATGTCAGCCCAGTTCCCCAGTATCTAGACACTAGGGGAAGGAAAGGAGATGGACAACAGCAGGGTTGGAGCCCAAGCCTACATGCTTTATATTGTGCGTCATATTACATATACTTCGAAAAATGGACAGAGCTCACAATGCAAATCTAGAACGTGGTTGAGGGGTGCAGAGATACCTCCAATGAAGGAATGCAGCAACTGTGTCCTGGAGAAGGAAAGGCTGTGAGAAATCATAGGGTTGGAAGGGACCTTGGAGGTCTTCTAGTCCAACCCCTGATCAAGGCAGAAGCCTCATACTGTCCCAATCAAATGGCTGTCCAGCCTATTTTTGAAATCCTCTACCAATGGAGCACCCACAACCCCAGCAGATAAGCTATTTGGCCGCTTAATTGCTTTTGCTGTTTAAATCCTACCAACCCTACAGTTCAAGTAGTCCTTGCAAACTCCATTCCATGATCTGGCTGACAAACACCATTCCCTGTTTTTGGCATGCTGACTCCTGCAGAAACACCACAGACTAGCTGAATGGCCTGCTTAGCACCTCACCTGTAGTCCGGTTGTCCGCGGTAATTGCGTTCACTGTTGTACTGATCGTAGGGGCGTTTACGAGACAGGTTGCTGGGCTGGTAGTTTCCTGAGCTCCGATACTGTTCTCTGCGCGCCTGGCGATCCGCATAATGGTGATCCTTGTGCCAGCGCGGCTCATATGCATGATAACGGTTTCTGCCCCAATTCGTATTGGAATTGCCACTGTAGTTAAATTTGCGATCCCTCTGCCATTCGCTTCGTTCTGCATGACAAGGAAGGGGAAGAAGGTAGCACTCTTTCACAAGAAGCCCAAGTGGCATTCACTATCTGTACTTCTGCCTTTGTCGACTATTCATTTGATTTTTATCATCTCCTTTTTAACAGAATAAGAAAAATGAGGAGGAGGAACAATAACACAATCATCAAAGCATCCATTACAGGAACAGCCCATCCAGAGTTAAACTGGGAGGCCTGAACTGTGTAGCCCATGTGGTTCCAGTAAGGGGGCCAAGGACAGTCATGCATTGCCCCCTTCCCCCATCCCAGGAAGCTAGATGGGACATCAGGAAGAAGGGCAGAGCTTCTATGGTCTTCAAGAAGATCTGCCATCACACCGCTTCACCCCTGCTTTACTTTGACGGCAGCCTGACATAAAATAGTTTTTAAAGTTTTTAAAAATATGTTGGATAACTATTTATCTGAAGTGATGTAGGGTTTCCTGCCTAAGCAGGGGGGGTGGACTAGAAGACCTCCAAGGTCCCTTCCAACTCTGTTATTCTATTCTAATATGGGGATGGGGGAATGCACATATGTTTCCAAGATGGCACCGATGACAGGTGCCTCAGTGAAATGCTCTCTAATGGATTCTTTATTATTATCTGCAATTCACTATGAATTTCGTACTTATGAGATCATCTGCTAAGAATTAGGCAATGTTTTCTTAAGGAGCAGCTTTCTGATTCCTTACCCACCCCTCCTCTTTGCAAACACGGAGGAAATTCTAACTAACTCCCCAGTGCTATGGATTACAACAAAGAAAGCAAAGAAGCGGCAGCGCCGAGAAAGGAGACGAGGCAAATGAGCAGGAATTGTAAACAGACTAAGGAATAGGGGAATAGTCCCTGGTTGATCCAGGAGAAGCTCTCTTTTCCGGCAGCGGAGAATTGAAGCTGCTGAAAGTTGGGACAGCTCCAGAACGGAAGAAAGAAGGAAAGAAAGTGTGTCACTTTGGTGAGATATTTTAAAGTACTATTTTGGGGGAAAGAACACCCGAAGGGGGTAAAGGAAAATTTGAAAAGTGAAGACAGAAGAGGATAGGCAGCGAAAACAAGCTTGAAGTCAAACTAAGTGGGTTTTTTTTTTGCTGGATTTTATTATGGATGCCAGATATATTAGCAGATGCTTTGGAGATAACTAAAGAAAAAAATGATGAATGGAATAGATGAGATGTTCTGAGTCTTTACAAGATATGCAATGAGAAAAATCTACCTAGAGAAGTCCATGTAAGATTCATGAAGAAAGCAATCAAAACTTAAATATTACAGTGTGTAAGAGAGAAAACATTGAAATATAAAGATAAGGAGATTGTGTGGTGAAACAAGTACCGAGGAGAGTCAGAGAGATGAGAAGAGAATATCAATTCTTGACAAAAATGTCAATTAAGAAAGGTGTGAACTATCGATGGTCTTATGGTACATGGCAAGAACAAAGACCCAGAATAGAGTCAACTGAAAAAGTGGAATTCTTTTATGCAGAATACTTCAGAGGGAAAAAGAAGAAACTAGACGAGAGGCGGCAATAATCAGAATTCAAGAAGAATGCTTAGATGTAAGAGATAAAGAAGAAGGTGCTATAGGAGGCACAGTAGAACCCAGAGCAGCAAGAGAACAGAGATCCACTAGAGCAGTAAATCCTTCTTATAAAGTATAAATATGGAAGAGAAAAATTGATTACAATCAATATAAATGGACTTAATTCGGCTATTAAAAGAAGAAAAATATTTCATAAATTAGAGAAACTAAAATTAGACATAATCTGTCTACAAGAAGTACACATCAAAAAGCAACATGAACAAATATTGATACAACCAAAACTTGGGAAAATATATACTTCGTTGACACACCACAAGAAAAGGGGAGTGGTTCTATATGTCAGGGATACTATTACAGCTAAACAAATTTTTACAGATGAGGATGGAAGAATCTTGACAGTGGAAATAATTGATAACAATGTTAAAATACTTTTAATAGCAATATATGCTCCCAACGGAAGTCAAGAAGAATTTTACAGAAAATTACATAAGAAAATAATCGAACTGGACTATGAGAATATATGCATTATGGGAGAATTTAATGGAATAGTGGATGTGAAATTAGATTATAAATCACAGAAAAAGAAACATAAAGAAAAGACAAATGTTGCATATATTAGAGGAAGACCATAGGAGACTTGAGAAGGAGTTACAGAAATATCCACAAAAAGGACATTTAAATTCAAATGGACACAATTAAACATAAATGGGGTTAATGGAAAAAGAAGAATTAGCACAGAAAATTAGAAGTGCTAAACAGAATTATTTCAAAGACGCAAATAAACCAGGTAGATGGTTAGCATATAAATTAAAGAGAGAGAGAGACTTGAAAATGCAACTGATAGATGATCAAGGAAAGATCTGCTATGGAAATGAAAAGAAAAAAATCATACAGGACTATTATGGAAAATTATATGAGCAAGAGAATGTTGAAGAGGAAAATATTAAACAATAACTGCAAAAGGGGATGTTACCCCAAATACCTAATGACATTGAAATGATGTTAGAAGGAAACATAACGATGGAATTAACTGAAGCATTAAAAAAAACAAAATAACGGAATGGCACCAGGCCCAGATGGATTACCAGCTGAATTTTATAAGACTTTACAGGAATCTTTAAGTCTCCCATTATTTGAAGTGATGAATGAAGTCATGTCAAAGAAGAAAATACCCAAGTCATGGTCAGAGGCTCTTGTACCAAAGGAGGACGCTGACAAATCAAGAATTATAGACTTATTTCTTTGCTAAACTCAGATTACAAAATCTTCGCTTCAATAATGGCAGAAAGACTCAAAAGATACCTGAGCAATTTTATACACTCTGATCAAAATGGATTTCTGCAAAGAGACAAATTAAAGATAACATGAGAATAATTTTGGACACTTTGGAATACTATGAGGCACATTTGGAGAAGCTAATGGCTCTGATATTTTTAGATGCACAAAAAGCCTTTGATAATGTGAATTGGTGGTTTATGTTATTACAATTGGAGCAGATGGGCTTTGGTGTGAAATTTATTCAAGCCATTGAAGCAATATATCATAGACAATCAGCAAAGGTAATGATAAATTGAGAGTTAACAGAAAATATTGATATTAAGAAAGGAACTAGTCAAGGTTGCCCGCTATCACCTCTGTTGTTTGTGCTGACATTGGAGGTACTAAACGGAAATATTAGAGAAGATAGGGAAATAAAGGGGATGAAAATTAAGAGGGAAGGATATAAACTACAAGCATTTGCAGATGACCTGGTGTTTATTTTGGAGGATCCATTAGAAACAGAGCCTAAATTGATAGAAAAGATTGAGAAATATGGATATGTGGCAGGCTTGAAAATTAAAGACAAAATGAAGATATTGACGAAGAACATAGTTGAAAAACGAAAGAAAGAGTTGGCAGAGACTTTGACGATCCAGGTCACAAATAAAGTTAAATACCTAGGAATATATTTAAAAGCTAGATGTGGTACACTGAAAGAGGATAATTACCACAAACGCAAGCAACAGATTGGCAAAATGGAAAATTTTGCAATTATTTTTAATAGGGAGAATATCCACAATTAAAATGAATATATTACCAAGGATTCTATATTTGTTCCAGAAAATTCCAATTATATTAGGGAAATACTATTTTGAAGACTTAAATAAAATAGTATTGAAATATATTTGGCAGGGAAAGAAGTCGAGAATTAAATTAAAATTAGATTCTAGAACAAGAGGAGGCTTTGGCCTACCCAATTGGGAGCTATACTATCAGGCAACAAAATTGATGTGGGTTAAGGAATGGATAACATTAAGAAATATTAGATTATTGATGTTGGAAGGTCATGACTTGTTGCTGGGATGGCATGCCTTCTTATGGTACAAGGGGACTAAAACACATGGTATTTTAGGAGGCACTATATACGAGAGGCTTTACTATTAATATGGGAGAAAATTAAAAGATAACATTATTTAAAATACCAGTCTGGTTGTCAACTATTGAAGCATTTGCATATCCAGTAATCTATAAAATGGAACAGTTAGATATGGCAAAATTTTGAATAAAAAGGGTGAACTTAAATCTATGCAAGAACTAGAGGAACAAAAAATAAGGATGAATTGGTTTTCATATGTGCAAATACATTCTGGATATGATAAACTCTAAAACAGAAGGTTTTTATGATAAATTAACTGAGTTAGATAAAATCTTGACAGGTACTGATGAAAAGGTGATTAAAAATATATGGATATTTATTAGAGGTTAAGCTAGAAGAAGAACAAGTAAAGAAACAATGATTGCATGGGGAAAGAATTTTGGATATGGGATAGATCTAGAAAGATGGCAGAAATTATGGTCACAAAATTATAAAATGACAATGTCATCAGCATATAAAGAGAATTTCTATAGGATGTTTTAAAGGTGGCATTTACCCCCAGCAAGAATGTTCAAGAACAAGTTGGAGAAATGTTGGAAGTGTCATCAGATACCTGGATCATACTACCATATGTGGTGGACCTGTGCAGAGACTAAAAGATATTGGACTAAAATCCACACATGGTTGGAAAAAATGACAAAAAAGCACATAGATTTAAAACCAGAGATATTTTTATTGGGCATCATACCTGAAATATGCAGTAGAGAGTTGATATATTTGATTGTAAATGTATTAACAGCAGCTAGAATTGTATTTGCTAAAAACTGGAAAAATGAGAAAATTCCAATGGAAGAAGAAGTTATTAAGAAAATAATGGAGTGCGTAGAAATGAGTAAATTGACTTGAAATTAGAGAGCAAGAAGATAAACAATTTTATAAGGTATGGGATCTATTTTATCAATGGTTAGATTAAAAAACAGGGAAATGAAATATTTTATAACACTCTATAAATATAAGTATAATAGAATTGAAGAGATAAAGTAATGTAAGGATATTATTATTGAATAGATTGGTGATGATGAAATAAATGTTATAAAGTAGGCCAAGTAAAAATGGTGATTTGCTCACATAAAATAATGGAATATTAGTAACAGTCTAGCAAGTTATTAACAATGATAATATAAATATATATAGTGGATTTACAGTATGAGGATTAATTTAAATTAGAAGGGAAAGACTACAGAGATTGTGCACAAAAGACTTGTACCAACCGACATACGGTATGTAATTGAAAGATGGTTTTGTTTATGTTTGTGTAGAAAATTAAAAAAAAACTTTTTAAAAAAAGGAATGGGGGAAAAAAAAACTCCTCTCCCTTCAATCTTTCTAATTTATGCTCACTTGCTAACAAAATGGATGAAATACATCTCTTAAATAGATGGAATCCTGATTTCCACATTTCAACTGTTCTTTGTTTTACTGAAACCTGGCTTAATCCACAAATTCATGGGGACAACACCATTTACATCCCAGGATTTCAGACATTTAGATCAGACAGAATTGAAGAGATATCAGGTAAAACAAAGGGGGGAGGATTATGTTTATATATCAACAACAGCTGGTCTCAGGATATAACTATAATATATAAATTCTGTGATGAAAATTTAGAGTCTTTGCATATCAACTGCAAGCCATTTTATTCTCCACGTGAGTTCTCCTCATTTCTCCTAATAGCTGTATATGTTCCTCCACAAGCTTGTGTAAACAAGACATTACAAACTCTTGCTGATCAAATTAGGAGGCTGAAGCCAAACACCCAGATTCCCTTCCCATCATTTTAGGAGATTTCAATCAAGCAAATTTAAGGAAAGAACTTCCAAAATATTTCCAGTATATAAATTGTCCCACCAGAGGCAGAAATACTTTAGACCACTGCTACACAACAGTAAAAGATGCTTATAGGTCTTTACCATGAGCAGCTGCAGGAAACTCTGATCACTGGATGATTTACCTTGTACCTGCCTACAAAGACTTAAAACTATGAAACCAACAGTTAAATCAGTGAGAAGTTGGTCTGATGAGGCAAAGCTGAAGCTCCAGGTTGCCTTGATTGCACTGATTGGAATGTTTTTGCAGATACCTTTGCAGACCTAGATGAGCTCACAGATACTGTAACATCATACGTCAGCTTCTGCAAAGACTTATGTGTACCAACAAGGAACCTGCAAATACATAGTAACAATAAACCTTGGTTCACAGCTAAACTTAAGCAGCTATGTCATTCCAAAGAGGAAGCCTACAGAAAAGGTGACAGAATGCTATACAATCAGGCCAGAAACATATTAACAAGAGAGATCAGAGCAGCAAAAAGAAGCTACTCCAAAAAGTTAAGGAATCAGTTCTCAACAAATGAACCAGCGAACATGTGGAAAACTCGTAAAAACATCATTGGCTACAGCAAACCTTCTTCCCACACAGAAGGAAATCAACAACTAGCAGATGACCTGAATGTGTTTTACTGCAGGTTTGAAAGGAAACTAGAGCCACCTATCTCCACAACCCCCATCTCAAACACACAAACAACAGTCAAGCTTCCTACAACTGGCCCCAACCCATTGGGTTCACAACCTCTGGTGATCATAGAAAAAGAATTGCAATATCTATTTCACAGACAAATGCCAGGAAAAGCACCAGGGCCAGATAAGAGAATTCCTTCTTGCTTAAAAGTCTGTGCTGACCAATTGGCCCCCATCATCACCCGAATCTTCAATAGATCATAAGAAATATACTATGTTCTTTCTTGCCTCAAATGCTCTACTATCATCCCAGTGCCAAAGAAGCCCTTCATCAAGGAACTGAATGACTACAGACCAGTTGCTCTAACATCTGTAGTTATGAAAATCTTTGAAAGGCTTGTGCTGTCCCATTTGAAAACCATCACAGATCCGCTGTTAGAACCCATGCAGTTTGCATACCGAGCAAACAGATCAACAGATGATACTGTTAACATGGCTCTGCATTACATCCTACAACACCTTGAATCTCCAAATACCTAAGCAAGGGTCCTCTTTGTAGACTTCAGTTCAGCATTCAATGCCATCATTCCAGACATTCTTCTAAGTAAATTAAACCAACTAGTGATACCTGAACATACTTGTAAGTAGATCATAAGCTTCCTAACAGACAGGAAGCAGCAGGTGAAGCTAGGCGGAATCACCTCCGATACCTGTACAATCAGCACAGGGCCCCCCCAAGGCTGTGTCCTATCTCCACTTCTCTTCTCCCTATATACCAATGACTGCATCTCAAACAATCCATCTGTCAAAATACTGAAGTTTGTTGATGACACAACAGTGATTGGTCTCATTCGAGACAACGATGAATCTGCATACAGACAGGAGGTTATACAACTTGCCTTGTGGTGTAACCGGAACAATCTGGAACTGAACACACTCGAAACCGTAGAAATGGTGGTAGACTTCAGAAGAAACCCTCCCATACTACTACCTCTTACAATACTAGACAACACAGTATCAACAGTAGAGACCTTCAAATTTCTAGGTTCTATCATATCACGAGACCTAAAATGGACACTTAACATCAAAAACATCATCAAGAAAGCACAACAAAGAATGTTCTTTCTGTGCCAACTCAGAAAGCTCAAACTGCCCAAGAAGCTGCTGATACAGTTCTAGAGAGGAATTATTGAGTCTGTCATCTGCACCTCTATAACTGCCTGGTTTGGTTTTGCAACCCAACAGGACAGACACAGACTCCAGAGAGTAATTAGGACTGCAGAAAAAAAAATTACTACCAACCTGCCTTCAATCAAGGATCTGTATACTGCATGAGTCAAAGAGGGCTGTGAAAATATTTACAGGCCCCTCACAACCCAGACATAAACTGTTTCAACTCCTACCCTCAAAACGACGCTATAGAGCATTGCACACCAGAACAACTAGACACAAGAATAGTTTTTTTTTCCTGAATGCCATCACTCTGCTAAACAAACAATTCCCTCAACACTGTTCAACTATTACAAAGTCTGCACTACTATTACTATTAATCCTTCTATCCTTCCTTTCACCCATCTCCTCCCACTTATGACTGTATGACTGTAACTTTGTCGCTTGTATCCTTATGATTTATATTGACTGTTTCCTAGTATGGTTTGATTGTTTACTGTACCCTATGACTATTATTTAGTGTTGTACGTTATGATTCTTGACTCTTGATGAATGTATCTTTTCTTTTATGTATACAGAGAGTATTTGCACCAAGACGAATTCCTTGTGTGTCCAACCACACTTGGCCAATAAAGAATTCTATTCTATTTTTATAAGAAGGGGATCACAGGAACCAGAAGTGCTGACCAGAGACAACGGTTGAACGATCCAAGGACACGACATGAGAAAGGAATGCGAATGCCCACCAAACTTTGGGAATTGTTACCAAAACAACTAATTTAACCTACATTGGACAAAAAAAAAAAATGACCAGGGAGAAGAAAGGGAAAATTATCAGGCTTATGCAGGAATCCTCAGATCTAGCTTTGCTTACACTCTAACCACTTGGCTCCAGTAAAAGCACACCTTTTATTAAATGCAACTCGACTGCAAATGGAGACGAGAGTCTTTCCTTCCTAAATGCCCAAGCTGGGACAGGCCTGGTAATCTCTCACCTGGGTGGCTGAAATGCCTTCTATTTGGCTGGTGGTAGTTCTCTCGTGGATGTCCATGCATCTGGGAAGGGTGAGGAGATGGCTGCTGCAGTTTTTGACCATGAGGGCTATGGGGGACAGGAGACATCGGAATATCTCGACTGGTCCCAGGAGCTTCTGGACGAAGCCGCTTGCCACTCGTTGCCTCTTCCTTCTTTTTTTGTTCCTGCTGAGCAGAAAGACAACATCATCGGAGAACTCAAAAGACCAACAGTAATAATGATTTGGGTCTTATTAACCAGGGTCTGGGGAGGAGGGAGGTCGCTGGAGAATATTGTAGGGCCTCTTCTAGAGGAAAGGATTAAACAAACAAACAGAAAGAAAAGGGAAAGTCAAATTCATGCTCATTTTTATATTCCATTCCATATCTTATTACCATTCTACATTTTCTATGTAACTTCTCCCCTCTTTCAACTTTCTTAATTTTATTTATTTCATCTCAATTCAAATCATCATACTTATATTCTTTGTCTGTTCTGTTTCAGCTGTCCATTATCTTTTCTCATTAAGCAAAATTTCTCCTGTGATCACTGATTGGAGTATGACGCCTTTATATCTTTCCCCTAAAATTATAACACTTAATATAATACATAACTTCCATTCGGATTCTGCTTAGTATATTCTAAAACCACACAATGTATTTTTTTAAAAAAATTATAAATATATAACATAATTAAAACAACAATCCATACCAATTCGATTCTATCATTAATATTAATATTCATTTAAATCTTAAACATTTTACACATTACTTTTCAAATAAGTATCATACTCCTATAGAAACACTTATAAACTTTCCATAATTACTTCCCTCCCACTTCACTTATATTTTATAAAATGTTGAGTAGTTAAAATGTTCCCATTCCTCCCTAATTCAAATCTCTCATTTATTTCATTTCATTTATTTTGTTTACAAAAGTTTCACTAAATTACACTATTTTATTCCACTTTTTAATCATACGTTATTTCCAATTTTCTAACATTATTTCTATTACAAATATAACAATACAATCTTATGTACCTTTACAGAATCCCTTTTTCAGTTAAATTTTCACCCATTGTCTCTGAATAAATCCTGGTTCTTTACATCTTGCTCCAAACCTTTATAACTTCTCTTCCCTTCCTTTTTCCCTTTCTTCTCTCTCCCCTTTTACCCCCCTGTCTCTCCACCTCCATTTCCCTCTTCTGTATTCCCCTTTTCTGTTGCTTTCCAACATTATATCCCCTTTTCACATTATTTTTCCCTTTTTTGGCTGTATTTTTATGTCTTAAATTCTCCATTCTCTTTCCCTTTTCTTCCCCAGATAGAATTACTTGTTCATTAAAAATGGCTTTTTCTTTGTCCCAATCTTCTTGTTGCACAGTCTTTTCTTGCTGTTTCTTGTAGACACCAATTGACATTTCTAAGAATTGAAAAATGGAGCCAAAGAAGCCCTTCCCTTCTTGTTCCTCTTCTTTATATTTTTTAAATTCGATTTTCAGTTCATCCAGTTCATTCAGTTCATCCAGAGGTGATGCCATTGTAGAGTTGTTGTTTTTTTAAAACAACCACCCAATTGTTTTTAATCATTCAAATATGATTTCCAAAAGTTTCCAAATCACCAAGCAACCCAAATACACACAAGCTATTTCTTTTAACACTTTCTTCTTTTTTCACTCTCTTCTTGGGGTTACTATTTAGTTGCAAAGTTCCAGTTAAAATGTATCCTTTAGAAGTCTTGTTAAGATTTAACTTTAAATTCTTTTGAATTCCAAGCAGTCTCCTCCTTCCAAGTCCTGCCCTTATTCTTTTCCTCTCCCTTCCCACTTTTAGCAAAAAAAGGATTTTTTAGTGTTCAGAAATCTTTATTGTCCCTTTGGCATTTAATTATATTTCCAGTTTAATTACCTGTTAGTGCCAAAGCAGATTTTTCTGATTTCTTTATTCAGATCTTCTCGTTATCAGCGTGAGGAAGGAGAGTGAAAAAAAAAACCCTTTCCCTTTTCACTTTTGTTCGCTGCTTCCGACTCTTCTTTGGGAGCGATGTATCTTTTGCAAAATTTAAATTCCAGGGTACCTTGGTTGTTACTTTTTGTCCCGGTCAGCCAAAAACTTTCACTTCTTAACTTCCTCCTGCACTTTCTTTTCCGGCTGAGTGCTTCTTTGAGGCGGCCATTTCTGACCGCCGCTCTTACCACCTTCGGGAAAGGAAGTTTAGCCAGCTGGGGAGGAGAGGTGTGGCTCCCCTTGTTAGGAATAACAAGGTTACCTAACGTAGTTTGGGTAAAATAATATATATAAACTATGATAGTAAGTTTAAGTGTGTGTCACTTCAAACTGCAAAGCATGTAATTTTGGGTGCAGTTGTGAAACTGCCACAAGAGGGAGCAAGAGAACCTGCTGGATTGCTGACGATTGCTGACTTTGCTGGATTGATGGTTTGCTAACTGCGTGTTCCCTGCTGCTGAGTTATTGAACGTCGAAGGAAGAAAGGAGGTTTGACTTCTTCATATCTCTACTGCAAGCAGATATATTACTGGACTGATATTTGTAAATTTACTGACCTCTTTTTCGACACTGGACTTTTGCAACTGAATAATCCCCAGATGGACTGAATTAGTGAGTGATATATGGACTGTTTGACTATGCTAAAACTCTTACTGGAATAAACTATTTAACTAGCACAGTGTATCTGTTTTACTGAGTGTAACCTACAAAAACGTTTATCTCACATATTTTGCCTGCTTGCCTGACTGCCGTGCAAATTCTGCTAGGGTGTATCCCTAACACCCCTCGACCCTGCTGGGTCTCCCCCGTCTTCATCACCTCTATGGGGTGGCTTAGCCCCGAAGCCAGCTGGCTCAGGACGCTCCAGCGGCGAGCCCAGGCAGAAACCGCGCACGATCGCGGATTCCTGCCTGCCGCCGAAGCCCTGCAAACCAGAAGTCTGCACGAAGAGATGTAACCCAGGATCAGGCTGCTTTCCAAAAAGATGTTTTATGATTTTATGTTCTATGTTTTGTTTGTTTATGTTTGTTTTTAAAAATCAATAAAATTTTCGAAGAGAGAAAAAAAGGGAAAGTCTTTCTACCCCACACCTCATTTGTGACCAAAGATGTCTTCATCATCAAGGTTTGCTAGGTCAGCCCCTTTTTGCACCCTAGGGGACCCCCACACACACACACACAGTTGCATTTGGCAGACAACTTGAAGAAAAAGCAATGCAAGTCCACCAATGGAGACTGGAGAGCCACTTGTCCAAGATGGGATAGGGTCTCCTGCTTGAGTAGGGGGTTGGTTTAGAAGACCTCCAAGGTCCCTTCCAGCTCTACTCTGATTAATAAAGGGCCAAGTCCAGCCAAAAGGAGTTGGAGGTTCACAGAAAAGTCTCAAGCAGAATTCCTCTAGTTCCTGAGGTTTTCTTTTGCCCAAGATGTTCCCATTCCTTCCCTCTCTCTCCTTCCTTGCATTCTACTGCACAACACAAACACACACACCTCTGTTCTTACCTCCTGTTCCCGGGATCGCTTTTTGTTAGCCATCTTATATATCTTATGTAATTTCTTGGCATTAAATTCAGTAAACTTGGAGACAAATACCCATAGATTCCTGAAAGGAGATGAACAGATAATTTTAATTTTCTCTTTTTATGACCTGGGCCAAAAGTTCAAACTTTTCATGCCACAGGAAAGAGTTGCCCCAAACAAACAGTGACGGAGAGATGTTTTATTCTGCTACTTCTCTCACTGCAGACTACTGCAAATGCTTGTATCGTGGTTTTCTAGGAGTTTGGACTAAAATGTGGATTTTGTTTTTAACACTCTGACGTATTTCCATATAGGGGAATTCAACACAATTCAACAATTGGAGACTGCATCTCATTTGTAACATTTCAGTAGGAATTCGAGGGAAGTTGGGCTTAGCTTGCTTGTGGCTATGTAGAGATTCTAGGGTGATTCCTCTTTTAACTCCATCCCCAGGTTCTGT